CGCAGTCAGGGCTCGCTTGGCGTTGGGTGGGCAGCGCCCGCCTGCGAGGTGCAGCCTTCGCACAGCAGGTGTTGCTGCTCCTGCTGCTCGGGGAAGAACTTATTTGTTGCTGTTTTGTGCGGTTTGTGTTAAAAGTGACCAAACTTTGAACTGCGTGTGTGACCGGCATGGAACTCCGAATGTACTGACAGGCCTGACTTCAGGAATGTGTGCAGTGGTTATTTTGGGTAAGGGGGCAACTTCTTCGGCTGACACAAAAAAAAAACCCCAAAAACAAAACCAGTCACTCCTTATGTGAGCAAGTGTTATGTAGCACAGCTTATTTCTGTACCAGAATTGCAGTATTATTTCAAGCCTCTGTGCTAAAGTAACTGCAAGTAGTAGAAATGAACTGCTTGGTTCTTGCAGCAGTGTGTTTGTAAAGGTGGGCAACACACCCGGTGTAATTCCTGTTTAGGTAGAAGCAAACTGGTTTGCTGTAGTGGTTAGACTACATCCCATTCTATGTCTTTTTTTTCCTGCAAACCCCAGCTTTGACTGCGGAACTTCCCAGCAGTTCTTTCACTACTCATTTTCACACTTTCCCATGCTGTTGAAAAAATAGTTCTACTGCAGTTGTTTATGACAGCAGTCTGTCTGCATGTGGCTTTGTGATTTGACCTTCCACACACTTTGCACTCTGTGGCTTGTATCTTTGGTCAGAAAGCAGTGATACTTGATTATTAATTGAACTTGACCCTCAGTTATAAGTAGCATGCTCCTGTCAGGATCGTGGACCTTTTCAGAGTTGCCCACCAATGTCACATGTGTGTGCTGCAGTGAGGCTGTTGTGTGAAAAAGTGAAGTGACTTGTTTATCGTGGTGCAGCTGTTGTTGCACAGCAGTTCTTGTGCCCAGATGTACTGTTGGGAGGAGGGAGAAGTAGAACCTCCCAGAAATGGGAGGCGATATTATGTATGTATATTCCCCCTACAAGGGGTTGAAATAAATACTCCAACTTGGCAACTTTAGAAAGAAACTAGGCCTGTGTCTCTCACTGCCACAGAACGTACAGAGGTGAAAAAGTCAAGTAGTTACCTTCAGGGAACAGAGGATTTTGCATATTTTCTGTCTGTAATTCCAGGAACAAGTTTGTGTGTGTGGCCTACAGCTTATGGTTCATTGTGAGGTTAAATAGTAAGTTGTCTCCACGGTGGTGTTGCATAATGTCTTATTGAGGATTCTGAGTTTTACAGCTGTGCAAATTACTCTGTTTTCTGTCAGCTAGCATAGGATGATGTTGTGATGTTTGTACAACTGCTGTTTTGCCTTTTTAAATCTTGTTCTTAAATGTGTCTTCTTCAGAAATGAAAAAGGCAGTAATCAGTACTATATGAAACAGGTGTACTCTTTTCATGTTATGCAGGACAGGTGATAGTGTGCACTGGGTGAGGGAACAAGAATAACCAAGTTAACCAGCAACTGGTTTTCTTTCAACGATTTCCTGATGATTGAGTGAGGTGAAGTTGTGGCCAAACGCAAGATACTTTATGGTTGCTGCTTTTAGTGTTGATAATAAAAAAATAAAGTTCTTTAGGGGCAAGAAGTCATCTATACCATCATTGAAATTGTATTCTTTTCCAAAAGCCCTTCTTGGATAGCTCTAATGTTGGGCAACAGTAGGCTTCCTTGGTACTTGAGGCTTTCTGAAGGAAACAAACAAACAGAACCAGAAGTGTTGCTAGCTGCAAGATAAAGGTAGAGCAGATAAGTTTGTCTTTCCAGTAAAGTGAAGTACTTTGATTTGTCAACAGTTCTTAAAATTTCTAAACTTTTTTTTTTGTTGTTGCAGGAGTCCAAGTTCAAAGAAACTGGAGTAATCACGCCTGAAGAAGTAAGTATTTAGACACTTTGAAATATATTTTGAAAGTAATGGTAAATTTTATACAAAATGATGATGCTCATATCAAACAGTTCATGTATTTGCCAACTAATTATTGCTTCTTGAAACAATTTATAGAAAGTGAAACTTCTAAGTGCCTTGTTTACAGATGAAGTAGATGGACAAAATTCCTTTTGAGATGACACTTGACATCTGAATGTGGGATGCTGTTTCCCTCCATTATGCTGTGAGAAGGTTGTAAGGAAGCTAGGTCAGCAGCTCCATTTGTCACAGGAGTCCAGGCCTAAAGGAGGAATATATTGATTTCAAAAGTGTTTTCCTTGAGCAACTCAAAGGGGAACTTTTATCTTGGGAATGGTCTTTAGTTACCTGACTTTTGGTTCCTTCCAAGTCTCTGGCAAAATCATTACATGTGCTTGTCCACACCAAATATCCAATGATTATTATTTTTCCCTCCTGTTTTCTGTAGGCTACTTCATGCTGGCTGTAATTTGAATTGCTGCCAAGCACTTGTAGTTTTTTTAAAGGACTGCTGCAAAGAGAAACAAACAGGATATTTTCTGGAATAGTAAAACACTGATTGTGCAGTGCTGTTTTGGCTTCCCTGTTCTGCTTTTTCTCATATTGAAGCACTACTGATCTGAAAATATATTGTCTTTAGAGTGGTCTATGAAAACCATGTTAATATTATGTAGAATGAGAAAACCCAAAAAGAAACAGAATGCACAAATATAAAATGAGATGGAAAAAATTTGGAGCAAATGATGACTGATGCAGGTAGATAATGTGGATAGAAATATTTTTCCTAGCATTGGTACCTTGCAGTTTTCTGCTGTGTTGCATAGCAAGCAAGTACTCTTGCTTTCTGTGACCCAGAAGAGTACCACTCAGAAACACAGGCTTAGCAACATGATCTTCTCCTGTTCTGCTAACTATAGGTGTGTCTATATAAATATTAATCTATTATTATTTAATATATAACATATATCCTTTACATATAAACAAGAATAGCAGAGAAAAACTAGAGAAATGCTCTACTAATACTTAATCCCTCCTTGATTTATGGGAGAACACTTTGCAGGAGTACTGAAAGAAAAGGTACTTTTTATAGAACATAGCAAGAACCATACTGTATTGCATTGAACAGTCTGCAGTGTTTAAACACCAGTAAGAATGTGAATAGTATGTGTTCTCTGTGTCAAGTTAGATGCTGATTGAATGAATAAATTGGATCCTTCAAAACAGTAGTCAAGGGAAACAGTTACACAGCAAGATTAAATTTTTGTTAAATTTAGATGAAACTGGAGCATGGAGCTGCTGATTGTACCTTGGACAGTCTTTCCTCTTCCCTGATGATTCTGGTCTTTATATAGTAGTGATTGCTAAACAACAACTGAAAGTCATTGATAGTGATGCTAGGATGTTATCTTCGAATGAGTTTGGATTACTTGGGTAATTTTAGCTGTATCTTACAGTCTGAGACACTAATTGTTTTATAGATTTTTGCGAGGTTCCTGTGGCTTGCCTCTAAGATGAATCAATTAGCAATAAGGCTAAAGATGACTCATTAAACTTCACACCTACTCCCTCTCTTCATGCATCTATATACTTGATTTAATTCCAAAAAATTCTTGCCTGTCATGAATTCTTACTAGCTAATGCCTCCAAAAGATGACACCTGTTAATTTTATATGTAAGTACAGACAAATCTTTAAAATTGTTCTTTC